GCATTTACACTAGTCAGTGACTAATAGATAACAATGCTCTCAAGGCAAATCATTATACTCAAGCTAAACGAAGTTCAGTGACATATTCATTAATTTTTTTTTTTTAAAGAAATATTCATTTTTATGCAGCAGTAGTGCACTGACGGTAAAATGTAAAATTAAATTTTTATTCAAAATTATAATTGTGGTGGGCGGCGAGTTTGCAAAAGAAGGAATAATAAAATTCTAGCCTCAAGCCATACAAATAAAAAATAATACAGCATTATGACCGGCTTTATTACATACAGGTATATATGAAGTATGATTAATTAATTATAAATGCTGCACCTCTACCCTATCATTCTGCTAAAAGATAATATCAAAGATTTACACACAGCATGTAATTCAAGTGTTAAACAAAATTTCTTTTTCTGATCAAAATCGAAGAAGCAGTATATCAAATGGTGTTATACTAGAAATGACATATTTACTCCATCATCAATTTAACATCTTATCCTGACATTCAAATATATTAATGCTTTTGTGCATAATTAATATTGGGTCTGTAAGATGCTATTGAACACCATATTCTGTAACATGTACGTATCTATTATTGTCATCTTATTTATATAATGAACATTTTTATTATTTATGAATTTCTTCTCAACACCTTAACTGCCAGACCGTATTTTAGGTTCCTTCCAGAACAAGCAAATATACTTTAAAAAAAAAATTCTATCTAATCATATATCAAATCATTAAAGGGTGTCTAATCTACTGTATCTGCCAAGTGCAAATTTTCTCATCCGTTTTTTGCATGGGTTTGTACATGTTCAGAGGGTACCCCACTCGTGCAATCGAACGTACTGCCGGCACGGTAACACAAAAACATCCATCCGTTATTTGTATGTTATCATCTAGGTGTATTTTCCCAAACTACCAATCATTAAGTCTGTGGTTTTACTATGTATAACAAAGAAGTAATAAACGCTAGAATATTACGCAGATTTTGACGGGTATAGTCATCCTAGCGCCCTCAGTAACACCATCTAGGAGTAGTATACTTGTCACTGGCAGTCAACGTGTTAAATTTTTACTTTATAATGGTAATGGTAATGGTGGGATATTTGTAGTGCGCCTTCCACAATAAAATCGTCTCAAGGCGCCAAAAAAGGTAGGACCATGAATTTAAAAAAATTAAATTATATTATATCTTATATTAAAGAGCCTATATTAATCAGAATATTTTTTTTATTTTATTTATTATAAATTGAATAAATATAAATAAATGAATAAAGTAAATAAATAAACAAATAGAAAATAAATAAGTATTTATTAATATATAAACTTTATGTTGAAGCTTGTTTACATAATATATTCACATGGTCAGCTAAATTGAAATTTATTAATGAATATAAAATTGTTTATTTTTTACAATCTATATATTATTATCTGTTTTTATACATTTCCACAAAAATTTTTAAATTTTGTTAAATATTTTTGACAATTATCATTAGAAATTTAAAAATTGCACTAAAATTGCCTCACATTCATACATAATTTTAACTGTATAAAAAAAATAGTATGGTAATATTTTATATAAATTTTATGTACACATTATTATTTGTATTTTATTTTGTTGAATGGGGGTTGAAGAGCCACGTAGAAAGCGACTTATTTTACTATTGGCAATCTGGTCCACCTCCTGAAAACATTTTTAATTCTCTTACTTTAGTGTATTGTTTTTTAAATAATGTATTTTTTATCAAGTGATGAAAAAGATGAAATGAAATTTGGTGAATTTACTTATGACCTTTGCTATCTAAGTTCAAGTGATAAGTTGCAAAGGTATTTCTATTAGAAAACAAATCACATCGAAAATGGAACAAGAGCACTAAATACCTGGAGTAATACTACCAAAAATTATTATTTGAAGCTGTGGTAATATTGATTTAAATGTAAAATAAATATTAGGCTTATTCTAGTTCTCATCTGACCCTGAAAAAAATGACATGGCATCTCTTGGTGTTTTTAATCCATCTCCGGATAAAACCTAAGTGGTATTTGTTCAGCTTCATTACAGCTCGTTTTATGTTTACACATTTTTTTTTTCATATTCACGCTGATCAAAATTCCAGCGATATTTATTTTGATATTAAAATTTAAAAAAAACTCTATGACTGTGTAAAAAGGTATTATTTATATTGCAGAAAAAAAAACCAAGTTCTACAATCTCAAAAATTAAGTTTTTAAGAATTACTGTTTTACATGTGATGTATCTTATCCTACTGGAGACATTCCAACATGAACAAAACATAATTCACTCAGCGAATACATTCCTTGGTTGATTGAAATATCTAAACATCAGATTTTGTTCATATAATTTAAATAATAATTATTCGTAAAGAATCTGGGCAATGAGTCGATTAATCTAATTACATCACAACACAATGGTAATTAACCTTTCTTTCGCAATCATTATTGGAAGATTTTATATCATTTTCGGCATTTATTATGACTTTCTCCTTGTTGACTGTGATTGGAGAACTCGGTTTCCACTGCAGCTGTATTCTTTGCTAATAGAGGGAGCTGTTTTTAATTATGTTGCTTATTTTTGCACAATTTCCTTTAGAAAGGACAAATACTCCCTAAAATTAACATTTTGAAATGATATACTATCTGTCATGAGGTGGAAAAAAAATGGAAAATTTCTAAAAATATCTTTTTATTTTAATTCCTAACATTTTCCTTCACAATTGCAATCAGTGAGTGGATAATTATGCCAGAAATATTAAAAGCAACGCAAGTACTAAAAATAATCTAAGAAACCAAATTAATAATTGTTATTATATACATAATAATATATAAATATATAAAGTATTAAGCAATACCTTATACATTTTGCATTTATTTTTATCTTCAATTGTATGTCTTCATGCCACAATTTTGTTGGCTCGTTCATTTCAAATTGAAAACTAATCAGGCAGAAGTAATAATATAATTATGACGGCAACGTCTCATTCGGTTTCTAATAAGCCAACATCTCTTCCTCTTTGCCAGCTTTGCTGCCTATAATGAGTAGCTTTGGATACCATTGTAAAGCAACAACCAAGATGTAGAGCAGGGTTCTCAAATGGCGGCCCGGAGGCCATTATCGGCCTGCGAGTGCATATCCGGCCTATAAACACAAATCTAAAATAATTACTGTATTATAGTCAAAACCACAACCAGGCCTATTATTGTAGTATTTCACGCTACATTATAAATGTTATTTTCCATGTGGGAGTGGCCACACTTGCTCTAGAGACTCGCTTTGCGAATTCACTTGACCAATGGACTTTCCAATTGGTTCCTCCAAACTGTTAAAACATACTCTGGTCTAGAAATTTTATGTGAATATTATAAAAAGATAAAAAAAAATTTGTAGAAATTAAAGGACCACAAAAATTAAAGGGTTTAAATTACCACAGTTGTGATTTAATAAATCTGTAGAGTGTCTGTTGCAATATTATTACTTATTCACTGTTCCGCCAGGCCCCCTTCATTAATTGCTTCTTTCAAACTTGGCACATGTTAAAATATAGTTGAAAACACCTGGTCTAGAAATTCTATATGACCAATTATGAAAAGATAAGAGACTTGTAGAAATTAAATGACCATGAAAATTAAGGGTTCAGATTA